AAGGGGAAAAATGCTCCATGTTTTTTAGGCTGTAAACTTTAACTGTTATGTAAGCCAACTAGAGAGACATTTTATCACTCTTCCTCCTGTACATTAGCAGATAAAAGGCATACAGTACTCGAATGAATGGTAAATAAAGAATACTGGAAATAACTGCATCCCGGACTGAAACTGTCTTTTCGCCGACATCTCTTCATCTGCACTAGTGGCCGAGTCAAAGCCGTGATTGGTCAGATGTCGATTAATTGCAACGGTGTCGGGTTACAGACGTGCTCCCCTTGTCACCTCTCACTCTCACTCACGCGTGTCAGCGGGGAGGGAGGGGAACTGGGAGGGGAACTGCGCTGAGAACTGCGCACAAGCCGAGCTCATAAGCCGAGGCCCCCTGCGCAATGTGAGGCCCCATGCAGCCTGCATGATCGACCTGTAGGGAGGGACGGCCCTGGTACAGAGGCTCTGAACACTGTATAACTCCTGGGGTGTGTGTGTGTGTGCGTGTGTGCGTGTGTGCGTGTGTGTGAGTGCCAAATATACATTTTGTTATTATTTTGATCATATTGGCTGGGATTCATTGGTTTAGACAAGTTTGAATGTGCTACTTATATATTAACTATCAATTTGTTCTTCAAAATCTTGCAATATTTAATCAAAAAAAATGAGAAAGTCTTTTATTCTGCACAACAGGTCTACATTAATCTGTTTCGCCACGTGGAGGCAGCATCAAGCTGTTCAGTTGACATGAGGATTGTGCTAGTTTCCTGTTTACACATCCAGCAGACAGAGAGCAACATTTATAGTCTTGTTTCTGGCCACCTGATGAATACAAGTAAAATAGTCTATCTCTTTAAGATCTTTCGCCTGAGGGAAATATCTGCCTCTTTAGCTGCTAAGTTCTTCACTATGTTCACCAGCTTGTCTCTCTGCTTAGCTTGTAGTGTACAGTGGATTTATCAAAGCCTTTCACTGAAAACAAGGCTGCCTCAGCTCAAAGCAATGATAAAGGCTATGGGAACCGAAACAGAAAACAATTGTGGGACATTAAACAAAAAAACGAGCTAAATGATGCTATCGAATTCTGCAGCCTCAGGTGGTAAACGTCTGTCTCTATAAGCGACACCTTTCACATTACACAAAGTAATTTATTATAAAAGTTGTTCACAGAATAAAAATGTATTTGTAATAGAGCTTAATTTATATATATATATATATATATATATATATATATATATATATATATATATATATATATATATAAGGACTGGCACAGTGATCTGGCAAGGACTGGCACAGTGATCACTCAGTGTCCATGTAAGACATAACAAAGTATGTTTATTATTTACATCTGCTCTTTGTTAAAAAAAAAAGAAAAATTCTGAGAGGCAACATATCCCTCAAGCAAAAACTGTTACTCATTTTAATTGGATTTTTTTCTCACACTTGTTGCATGCTCATTACTGCATTTTTCTACTGGGGAAATATTTGCTCCACATTCTCCTTCAAGCTTCTTCTCAGTGTTAAAAGAGCTTAAATAAGACATCATTTAAACAAAGCCTGTTCCCTCAGAAAACTCACACAGCTCTCAGACCTGTTGGTTCCCAGCTGTTAACGGTTTCATCCATTAAAGCAGTTTATCCCCTGCACCTGTTTATCTCTTCAGTTCAGGACTGCATGCTTTGATCAGTAACTCAGAACTTAACACAGGACCACATCGTGAGTTATATGGACACGCTGCTTCACCTTGAAGTTTATAACTCTCCAAAAAGTCAAAAGTGCATTTGATGTGTGAGCATAACATCAACAAAACAACGCTTTCTCCTGCAATACGTCTTGAAGTTCAACTAATGGAGAAATTTTTTGTGATTTACATTTATTCCTATATTGCGTGCATGCAGCCTGAGATCTTTTTTTTATTGTCAACTGTTTTACATTTAAGTCGGCCGTGGGAGAACATGGGAAGAGTTTCCCCCCCGCAGCGTTATAGGAACCAGGTGTTGAAGGTGTCAGCATTGCAGGCTGCAGATTGACCTGAAGCTGTTTTAGATTATTGTCCAGTCAGGATGCTATTATCTGGGTCACAGCATGCAAAGGGGGGCACATGTTTTAGGTAAATGGGGCACTATGGAAGAAATGGGGACGGAGGAACCCTTTCACCCCGAGTCTCTCACATTCCTGGAGCGGGAATGATAAACAGCTTCCTGCTGAGAGGAATGTTCTCCTAAACTAAAAATACTCTGGACTCACATCTGGGCAAGGATCTAATAATAGCTGGTTTTAAGTTGTACATGAATGATCAATGCAAACAAACACCTACAAAATAACAGCTAAGCTAATGGGTTGATTACATTTAGGGCTGCCACAGAATATGAAATGAACTACACAATTATTGTGGCCAAAATAATTCCCAAAAACCATATAATTGCAATATTTAAAGATAATATATTTGTTATAAAAGGCCTGGGCCTTAGGTCTTTCTGCATGTAAATGGTCTGCGAAGGCTAAAGGCCTGAAACCCCTCCATTGGACTCCTTTGTTTACTTCTGTAACATTGTGACATCACTATGTAACACTCACACTTCCATTGGCTAGCGCTCCAACACATTGTACATGATCTCTAAGTGGTTGACCAATCACAACAGAGCCGGCCAGCTATCCAATCAGAGCAGACTGGGCTCTGGTTTCAGACAGAGGGTGAAAAGAGGTGCTGCAGCACAGGCAGCATCAGAAAAATAAAAACCTTTTTGAACATTAAAGCATGTAGACATGTCACAGTAGAGGTACAAAATACAAATGCGAACCTGAGAGTGAGCATAATATGTCAAATACTTTTCTGCCCCTTAAATGAAAGACAATATGTCAAACATGTACTTTCTATTCCTCCAAAGGTGTACTATTAAACATTTCCGTATTTTATCCAAATGATAATATTTTCAGATAATTTGTGGCTTCTGTTGTGCTACATTCTGATGTTACCATACATCAAACACCTATATTTCTAAGTGTAAACAGTAGCCGGACATGACTAAGCAGCCCCTTACGTAAAACCAACCTCTCTGGCAGCGTGTTGAATGCTGGATTAACGGGCATCAACATGAACAAAGACTGTAATAGGATAAAGACTCCAGTGGAACAAGCACAAATAGACCGGTCAGTTCGACTTCAACTACAAGCCTACTGTCCACACTGAGCACTTTGTTTATGCCCGCAAAGCAGGAGCGTCTTCACTCTTTTACTGGTGAGTTTATGTTGTGATTATTACTTACGGTCTTTTTCTCTATTTGTAATTAGTCATACAATTTGATTTTAAATTTACATTTCTTGAGTTAAGCATTTTATTTATTAGTGTCATGATATATTCTTAGGATTGTGTGCTATTGTAGTAAATGTTATTTTTGATACATTAATCATTTGTACAGCTGTATGTTTTATTGCTACTTTTGAAAGGATACTATGGATTAAGATGATGATGATTAATGCTTTACTTTAATCAATATTAGTACATTCATTTATAGATCATATGAGCTTGTTACAAACAACAGCTTGGCATGTTTTGAGTAGGATATAATAGAGCAGCCTAAACCAATAATGAAATAAGTGAAGAGTACATCCTCAGTTACTGTAAATCCCCGCTGGATGTTAACTTGTGTCCTCGTTTGTCTGAACTGGGGCAGGTGAGTTTAGCTTGTTTACTGTTTACTAAGTTAGCAAGTAAACACAATATAAACCAGGTCAGGCTACATGAAGTGACATGTAGCCTGACCTCCTGACACAGCAGATGGTGCAGGCATAAACACAGCTCAGCAAGTTTTAAACCCCCTACCGTTCACCTCCTAATAGTGGTGCTTAAAGTACAAAAACAAAAACAAAGGCAAGGCTGCTATAGGTCAGTGTATTATTAAAAATGAAAGAGATAATCCTTATAGTATTTGTAGAGTTAAAATGACACAGCTAAGCAACATAAACAATTAGATGTAGAACACCATTAGGTATCTTGCAGTATTATTTAACTCCAGTTATCTCTTAAGTATATTAAATAATGCATTGTTAGAGGAATTTAAGATTTGTATTGCCAAAACTAGGTTGAAGTTGTTGCATATGACAATCAAGCCTTTACATACAGGACGGACATGTAATATATTCCACATTCTAATGCGAAAGTGAGTACAAATCTAAAACGTAGGTATTTTACTCGTCACTGTAATGACTGTACATATGTTAAAGGTTGTGTTGGGACACATCTTTGTAGTTGAACCAACTAAAATAAACTGTTCCAGTTACCTTCTGACATCAAAAGGATGTAAGTCCATTTGGGACACATGACTGTGGTTGTTTAAGTGTACACAGATGTGCAGCACCACCAAGAGGCAGACCTACTTATGACCACGTACAATATTTTTGACGTTTAATCATGCTCAGAACAAATCCTATTAGCTTTCTGGAACAGACCTAACCTGTTGTTTTAGTTTCCTTATTTAAACACAGTGTGTGATCATAATGCAAATGTCAGGGTAGCTGCTATTTTCTTAAAATACAAGTGTAATGAGTTAAGACTTTCAATTCCTCTAATAAAGCAGTTACAACAGGTCTAAGAGAAATGGGCAACCAGAATACAGTATACAGAATTAGTGAGTTAATTGAATAACTGAAATGTACCGTGTTTATACAGCTAATTTAAATCCTATAACTGCATTTTGAAAATAAAATGGTATGGCAGTAGATCAAGTCAACAGGAAAACAATGTCCCTGTGCATTTAAATAAGTAAATATAGGTTATATCTTTATTTGAGATGTAAGATTTCACTGTAAAAGCAATGCGGGTGCAGGGGAGAAATACAATACAGACCCTTCCAACAATTTAACATCTTCAGACTTTAATATTGAAAACTAAATGAAATACTCTTAAGACTTTTCAGGGATCTTCAAGTGTATCTGATTCTGTACCGATAGTAATATCACATTTCATGTCCTTTCAGAATCCTTTTTCCAGAGGTTTAAACTTCAAAGCTGCTGAGTGAGCTCAAGATGAAGCTGCTGCTTGGTTTGTTTGTTCTGGGGGCGACGCTGGGGGTCCTTTATTCTGCCCCAGAGGACGAACCCACCGGCATCTCAAAGGACACCTTAAAACGTGAGTCAGCACAAAACTCCTTCATTTAGAGGGAACATGTTTGATGTTGTTTATTAAAGTCAAAAGTACATTTTTATCTGCCACGGCAAAAAAGTATGTTAGAGTTGTGTATTCTGATATATAATGTGGATAACAGTGGAATTAAATCATAGGCTTTCTACAGGTGTCTTAATTAGTTTTCAATGTCATATACTGTAAATCAGATTGCATTATTTAATAAAGAGACAATCGTTTTCACCCTATTTGTGTTTTTCTTTTCTTCTCACTCTCAGAGTTGTCCCTGGATGGGGAGAAACTTGTGGACGAGGAGGTGAGGCGGGCTCTGTACGGGGTGAAGCAGATGAGGGAGGTGATGTGGAGGAACGAGCAGAAACACGAACACCTCATGAAGTCTCTCCGACACAGCAGTGACAAGAAGAAGGTAAGAACAACATTGACCTAAGAAAGAAAGGCAGACAGAAAAAAAGCACATGGATAAAACATATCTTCCCTTCTCCCACCAGGAGGCAGACCAGCTGACTAAGGAGGTGAAGCAGAAGCTGCAGGAGGCCGAGCAGCAGTGCAAAGAGTCCCTGCAGTCTGAGTGGAAGCAGTGCAGGCCCTGTCTGGAGGACGCGTGCAAAACGTTCTACACCTCCACCTGCCGCAGGGGATATGGCTTCTTCCATGCCAAGGTATCCAACTCCACTTCAGTCATTCTTACTCTATCCTCCAAACTATTGCAGCAACATCGGCAAAAATACAACTTTTATTTGGCTCTTTTTTGGATGCAATATGTGGCTCTAGGTGGTAGAATTGTCTTATTGTATTTTTCAGTAAACAATGCATCAAAACATCAGATAAGGGAACAAGTGTTAAATGACCTGTTTGCATTTTTTAATAATGACATTAGTCCAATTAATAAATAAATATTGCTGCACTAGTAAAAAATGTAAATGTGCCAAAACGACATTCTTTGTATGTAATTTCCTTTAGACCAGTGCTTCAAATACTTGTGGTCCTTGATTAGTTGTATGTAACCCCTGGTAGTGTCATCAGTTGGGATCACTTTAACCAAAGGGACTGTTTTTGTTGCCTTATTTTCAATATTTTTGGAGGTCTGAAGAGGTTCAACGTTACATTATTTAACAAGAAAATATCTTAGGAACAGCAAGTAAACTACGTTTTGTGTTGCAGAATTTAGTTTTTCTTACTCCCCATAAACTTCTTGTGACCCTGGGTTACAATAACAAAAACTCACCTCCATCTCTTTTCACTCTGTAGGTGGAGAACTTCTTCCGCAGAGTGTCTGGGCGCTTCGGCCCCAAAGAGGCCCGTCTGGATGCAGGGGACATCCTGGTGAACCAGGGCCTCGAGGACAGCGACGAGGACAGCGACATGGAGGCGGACCGCATCGAGGAGTCCTTCAGCAGCCTGAGCAGCAGGGTCGGGGGGCTGGTGAACCGCAGCGTGGGGCTGGTCTCCACAATGAGCGGCCGGCTGGACCAGGTCCTGCAGAAAGCCTTCCTGAACTACACCGACTCCCTGATGGAGGAGGACACCGTGGACCCCTACGACCCGGCCCGGGACTCCAGCTTCCTGCAGGGGGTGGGACTGGAGGACGTTCTGGAGTCCTTCTTCGACTTCGGCAAGAGTGTGGTGGAGGAGTTTGGAGCTGTGGTGACCCAGAGGTTTGAGGACATCCAAAAGGCGGTGGAGGAGCAGAAGAAGAAAGGTAAATACGGCAGAAAAAATGAAAAACATGGATTGTTTACTTTTAAATATAAGCATGAACATATACTCCAGGTACCAAAAAAAGAACACATCAGCCCTTTTCAGTATAATATAGACCTACGTTATATTACTTGATTATACCTGTTGGGGAAATATTTTCCAAGGCCCATAACTTTGACCCAGTTTATCAGTTCATACTGTCCTGACTGAGCGCACGCACCTGTAGCTTTGGCTGCTCTGCTCTCAGTGTTTTGTCTCCCTGTTCCTGCCTGTTGGCGTCAGCTGATAGAGGTGTTATGATTCTATCTTATTATGCAGCATGTTGATGATTCTCTCTGAACTAGCTAACTACATGGGTCTGGGGTAGAGTTCTTCAGAATTGACGTGGCAACTCTACCGTGAAGTCAGAACCTCTGACTCTTTGACATGTTTTGTGAATTCTCCGGCTGAAGCTCCAAATAAACCCATCAGTGTTTGACATCAAAGGTCCAGCTCTCCCCGTGTCTCCTTTGAGTTGGTGACTCCTCCTGCATTGCTAAACAGAAGTTTCCCCCACAATACCTATTGGTGTATTACGTGTTAGAATAAAGTGTGAATACTCAAATTAAGTACATGTACCTCAGCATTGTTGGCCTACCAAGTACATGTCTTGGATAAATAAAGGCCTACTTTGTTAAAATAATTTTAATGACAAAATATTGATAATATTGCACTCAAACGAGATGTGGGAACTTGGAGAATATTAGAGAGTGTATTGCTTTTTACTTACTTTATCTTTGTACACAGTGTACATTAATAAAAAAACACTAATCTAGTTGTTGAACATGTTTCTGTTTGCTGTAGGGAGGGAGATGTTCCCTCGTTTCCTGCAGAACAGGAAGTTGTGCCGGGACCTTCGCAAACATACCTCCGAGTGCTGGCAGCTGCAGAGCCAGTGTGAGGCCTGTCAGGGAGCGCTGCTCACAGGTGAAGCTCCACCACCAACAACAACAACAACAACAACAACAACAACACCACCCACACACTCTCAGTTTACCTCAGCTGAAGTGTAGGAAGACTGTGATACAAGTAAAAGCCCTGCAATCAAAATGTTATTCAACTAAAAGTACAATAGTATTAGCATCAAAATATTCTTCAAGTACCAAAAGTAAAAGTACCCATTATGCAGATTGACCCATTTCAAAAATAATATGTCATTATGTTTTGATTAAGCGTTATCAAAGCTGGTAAAGGTGGAGCATGTTTTAATCACTTTTTATACTGCAGGGTAGCTCGTGAATTTGGACTCTAGGTGAAACTAAAGTCTTATCTAATTGTTGTTTATATTTCACATCATTAATCCAAATCTGCAAAGTAACTAAAGATATTAAATCAATGTAGTGAAGTAAAAATACATACTTTACCTCTGAATTGTCGTGGTGTAGAATTACTAAGTAGCAACAAATTGAAATACTCAAGTAAGTTCAAGTATCTCAAAATTGCACTTAAGTATGTGTACTCAGTTACTTTACACCACTGCTTACATTAACCCCCCTGCCTGCTCCTCCTTCTGCCTCTAGAGTGCCCCAGCGTCCGGGACCTGCATGTGGAGCTGGAGGAGGCCTCCCAGATGTTGGATGTTTCCACAGAGCAGTACGATGAGATCCTGTCCATCGTCCATCACCACACTGATGAGACCGTCAACTGGCTGAGCAACATGGCGGCCGACTTCAGCTGGGTGGCTCAGTCTGTGAACAGCAACACTCCTGAAAATATCTTCAGTGTCAACGTGGTGAGGAGTGGAGGACATTAATGAAAAGGGTAGATTCATAGAGTGTATGGTTAGGAAGTCTTCAGGAAATAATCATCTACTAAAAAATGCTCTAACTTTGGAGCCTTGACACGATAAAAATCAAAACACAATCCATGAAATGCCAAATAAACAAACCCTTTTAGTCAAAATCCAATAGGCCGGATGCAATTTGATAATCGTTGGTGTGTGACTTCTCCCATCCTGCAGGTGGCACCAAACACCCAGGATGAACAGAATGAATCTGAGACGGAGACCAAGGTGGAGGTGAACATCCTGAACTCTCCCCCAATCATCTTCTCTGTCCCTGGGGAGCTGAAGCTGAGGGACCCCGCCTTCATCCAGTATGTGACTCAGGAGGCTCTGAGCAAGTACAAGGAGATGGTCAGGTGAGAGCTTTGATTTACCTCCATCACACCACCTGCTGCTTCTACTGTAGATTTTGTTTTTCTTTAAAGACATGAACAAAATAGGTATTGGAATTTAGACAAAAGTGTGCTCAAACTTCAACTAAAGTCAAGTACTTCGTCTATTCTGACATCAATGAATTCTGTTTCTTCACAGGTACGGTGAGGATGAGTAAACTACAGTCTCCTTTTCTAAACTTCTACCAGCACTTTATTTTAAGATTAGAAATAGCTTGTGCTCCTGTATGTCAATCATTCCTATTTATTGAATGTAAAATGAAGAAAATGTACGTACCCGTTGTAAATTGGTGTACATAAATACAATTAAATACCAAAAGAGCCTTGAGTGATTTATAAAAGGTCACATTGAGCTTCTTGGAGCCGAGTTGTTCAAGACGTGGACATCCAAACTTCGACATCGCAGGCTGATCTGAACGAGGTTGGATGTTGCTTGCAAAGAACAAGAGAAGGCTAAATGACTCCTTTGAGGAAAAACTTTTATTTTTTCTGAACAAAATCATATTAGTTACCATTCTCAGTAATGTCATTATCATCTCCCCACCAGGTCAAGTTCCATTTTCAGGAACAATCACATATTAGCTTGTGAGTGAAACACAAAGAAAAACAAAAGAAATTCACATCTTTGTCCGATCCTTATTATTACTTATCGAATGACAGTACGATTTCCCATCTCATACCGCTGGACAGACAGTGGAGGTAACCTTTTATTGGACTTTTATATTACTTATAAAAGCACCAACGCCCTGACCTGCCCACTGTGTGTGCACAGTGTTTGTTTTGTCTGGTATTAATAACTATGGGAAGTAAGAAAACCATAAAGGGGAGCTAGAGAGGAAAATACCATCTGACAGCCGTTGTTCCTTAACACATGGCTGGTTGGCTTTGCATATGTTCATTTACAAATTAAAATTGTGTTGTAGGATTTAGATGAAAGGATTCCCTCCGTTAGACAGAGAATTCATTCGAGTAAAGGCATGTTAAGTTTTAGTTTGGTGGTATTTTACTGAGAAGAACAGAAAGAAATACTACAGCAGCATGTATGATTTACATGATCATGGAAAAGATCTAACATAATCCTTCACCAGGAATAGATGGGAAAACTGCCATTTTAAAACTGTGCAACTTTGTTAAGATTCTTTTACAGCAATCAGAAATATGCACCAAGATGCTTATTTCCGATAACTACTCAAACATACTTCAATTTCACAGCTGATATTCAAAACATTTATAAAATGTTAAACAGGAAAAAAGTTATCGCACATGAATATTATCAAAATAGCTGTTTATGATTTCAAGTCCCCGTTTAAATTAAAAAACAATTAAAAAAGCATATTAAAATCCGATGTGATTTGCCATTCAAGCGACCGTATTAAATATCATTTGTAGGATTTCTAAACACGGCCTTCTCATGTTCTCACTCATCCACCTGATCACACCTGCTGAAAATACATCTTTGCACGTACTGTGTGTACATCTGCTTTGATCTCTCCGTACATTCGTTCATCCGTAAAGTACAACCAGTCCATTTACTCCTCCTCCTCCTCCTCCTCCTCCTCCTCGCACCTCCTCCTCCTCGCACCTCCTCCTCCTCCTCGCACCTCCTCCATCACAGCTTCACAGACGCAGCACACACTGACATTTCAACCATAGTTGTTGGTCAACAACATAACCCATCAACCTGCATTTAAAAACCAAACTCATGTACATACAAAAGATCTTGACTTCAATATCAAAGAACTGTGTAAAATAAATTGGGATTGAATTAGATGAGAGGGGGCATTTAAAAAAGTAAAAAATGGTGCGCCTGCAAGTAGCCATCAATTTAAAATGAGAAGACAGCCCCTCTCTGTTTGATCACAGTGTTGTGGCCGGTCCATGTGGATTATTCTGATGAGCAGGCTTCCCAAAGCTTAAAGTACCAGCACCAATCTGCACAGTTGGACATTTCCCCAAACATTTGGTCCCCGATTAGCCAAGGGACGTCCCTCTACTTCAGGGAACATTTTCTTCTTGCTTCTGCAGATAAACCAGAGTGGCTGTGGACTAGTTTGTAGCTTTGACACCTTGTCTCTGCAGCCTCATCAAGGCTTTTTCCCATGCCGAAGTCCTGTGTTGTACCCGGCTTTGCTCTCCACTGATGTATGAAGCCAGAGTTCACCCCCCAAACAATCCCCCCCCCCCCAACTAAAGGTTGTCCCCGGGCTGGTACAGTGGCTCTGTGGCTGTGAAGTAGTCTTCCAAAAAGGACTGGATGTATTCGAAGGTTGGTCTCTCATCCGGCTCCTTCTTCCAGCAGTGCCTCATCATCTCGTGGAGGGACTCGGGGCAGCCCTGGGGGCAGGGCATGCGGTACCCTCGCTCCACCTGCTCAAGAACCTCTCGATTCACCATACCTGGAGAGAAAATACAACAAATGCAGTGTGAATGGACATCTAGTGTTTTTAACCATAACACTTTCCCGTGCGCATCACTCATCATGTAATACAGTTGGGTACAAAACATGACCATCATTTTCAAGTAATATTTAACACGTGTACAGAAATTAATTAGCTCAGCCGTTTCCTAAAATTGTAGGTACTTTTATATTGATACATACTGTTTCATAACTAATAGGGTTTTTACATTAGTTATTATTTGACGGCAGAGATTTAGAGGAACATGATGGGTATTACATTTCATAAAATGCCACTTAAATGAACAGCTACATGGATTAGTGTTAACAATAATCATGTTAATGTGACTTCCCTCTGTGGGTCAGTGGGAGTTCATTAAGAGAATGAATGACAAGTGGGCCAGTTTTCTGGTGAAGAAAAATTGTGCTAATCTTATCAGGAAACAACCCAGTCCACAGCCTGAAGCAGGAGAAACGTGTTGGCATCAGGCAGCTTTAAAAAAGAAGCCCATCCACTGTGTGAAATGAGAGAGATGAAGGAAAAAACAACCTAGGTGGAACAGTATTTCCTGTAAGGACCCATACAGGGCAGAAACATTTACTAAAATCTAACCGACCAGTCATATTTGGCTAAAATAAATGTTGCCACTCCCACAGTGCTGCTTCTCCTTCTGGCTTTTCCTGCACTACTAAAGCACCAGAGACGTGGATATCTTCCTAAGACAGGAAGACAGTGATCCTGAACCCTGTGACACGGCGCTGAAACAGCTCCATGGGGAGCTGAACAGCAGCTAAAAGAGGTTGTGACTCAGAGACAGTGGTATGGTCCCAACCACATCCTCCCACTGCGTCTCTGTGGGAGAGAGGGGATCAGATTATCTCAGACTCTGGGGGAGAGAAAGGGCCCGGAGCGACTGCTGGGACCCGGATACGATAGCAGCGTGGGCACTTCGGAAGCTGAGGTGTTAGCGTGATTTATGTCTTAAATCTGAAACCCTCATCTCTAATAACGTGCCTGACTGAATATCTGAATGAGTGTGTGAGAATCTATATATAAGAAGGACTGAAATAGAAAAAAAGATGATGTGTTCCCAGGCTTGCTGCGTGTATACGTGCCTCATATCGCTTCTTTAAAACAAAAGAGCAGAAATAAAGAGGAAGTGTAACTACTTTTTATTTATTCATTTATTTTATTTTGTACTTCTTTGCTTTGAGTGCTGTCACGTCAGTTTAATGTGTCTGAATTTAACAGTGATATAATGTACTTTTTGATTTGTCATTGTTTTTCGGGGTTGTTTATTTCCGTGCGTGTTTGTGCTTGTGGGTGTGGAATACAATTCATAAAGACTGGGGGGAAAAAGGAAAAAAAAGCGGCCTAGAAAGACTGCAGCTCAGCAGGACAGAGCCACACATGTCCCGTGAGTCATACTCCTCTTTTAAGAAGCGAAAAGAGGGGTTCAGCCTCCTGAATCTGCAGCTCTGGGGCGAATAATTAGACCAAACGGGTTGCTCTGAAACCAAAGAGGGCCCTGGGAACCAGATGGCCTTCTACATGAGATGGTGGTTAAGTCTGCCATATGGCACGCTCTGTAATCAGTGCCACAGACACACTGCTGTCCTCCAGCAGGGGGCAGACATGAGGCTGCACACCACAGGAAGAGGGAGATCATGTGAGAGCGCAACTTTCCCATGCATTAACAAGTCATTACACATCTACGTTTATCACATCTACTATTAATAAAGGACGATGAGTTGAATTTCAGAATCATCCTGAGGCGAGGTTAATGAATTATTCCTGTTTCCCATGGAAGTGCAACCTATTCATGACCGTAGGGGGACAGGAATATAGACAACAGCAGGAAAAGGAAGCTTCATGTCAAATGAAAAGGGAAAAATAGACATCAAAATAGTTTTCTCCTCATCATCTGTGCTTCTTCATCGTTACCTGGGTACGGCACTCTGCCCTTGGTCACCAGCTCAGTCAGTAGTATACCAAACGACCAGCCGTCAGATTTGATGGTGAAGCGTCCGTACAGAGCGGCTTCAGGGGCCGTCCACTTGATGGGAAACTTAGCACCTGGGAAAAAAGAGAATAAAAACCAAAAAGGATTAATCAATATTTTCACAATTGATTGATCTGACCTTTGGGGCATTCATCTGCAGTTAAAACACTAATTGATTGTTCATTAAGTTAGTGAAACATTGTGATATGTGATGCAGGTATACTGAATGTACAATGAAAGTGTCAATATGTGCTCGTGTAATTAATTATTATCATTTCTTTATTTATATGCCGATTCTCTTTTGGTTTAAACAGTCAAAAGGTCTATAAAATGTAAGCAATTACTTGATATCTTCTCACAATAACACCAAACACGTCATATTCAAACAGGTTTTAGGGATCCAAAAGCACTCCTGAATGCTTGAAACAGTTTTAGTTTAACCAGTGTTGGAGTGACACCAAAGGTTATATTGAAGCACCAAAGAAGGCCTGAAGGGTTCAGAATCACTTTCTCATGTATTTATAGCTGATGTGGTTCTTAGAAAAGGCAGACACACATGTGCCAGTTCTTAATACAGACCTTGTCTGGCGGTGTACTCGTTGTCCTCGATGAGCCGAGCCAGGCCGAAGTCGGCGATCTTACACACCAAGTTATCAGCCACCAGGATGTTGGCGGCTCTCAGGTCTCTGTGGATGTAGTTCATCCTCTCGATGAAGGCCATGCCGTCTGCGATCTGAGACGGGAGCGGACCATGCAAAGAAACGGGGGGGAGGAGACAGAAAATACATGTTTTACCAGGATGCAACCAAAGCAAGAGACTTGAATCAATTTAAATGAAAATAAAATGATCAATAATTACTTTTGAATAAAACACTGCAAGTTTTTTAATATAGCATGTATCAACACAAGGCAATTCAAAGGGCTGTACAAAAACATTAACATATAGGGCAACAGAAACACCTAGTCAAATTACATTTAAATAAACTTAAAAATAGTCATTACAAATCCAAGATACTACAAATGAAACCATCTAAAGTTACAAACTACAATAATAATACTCAATTAGCGGGGTCATTGGCCTATCATTCAACCCTAATATTAGTTATTTAAATACGAGATTATATGCAGCTGCGACAACAACTGGACAAATCTTTAACACGACTATCTGGATCTTTAACCCGCCTCGGTGTAACGCTCAAACACTTTCCCCCTCCGCTGCTGAGTGAGGAGGAAGAAGCCTGGGAGTGTGCAGAGGCGAATTAAGAGCAGATCGCGGTGGGTTAGCGCACCGGCCGGCTTAAGTGGCCTCTGATGAGCGCTGCTTAAGTGCTACTGTGGCAGTTAAGTGGTGAAGAACCAGGGGAGGCGCACACACAGTGAAGGGGGAGGGTAGAGATATCAGATAGGATATTAAATAAATATGATAGCCAGGCAGAGACCAAACTGAGACTGAATATTTGACTCATACACACACGGCTGGGAAGTTTCCCACATGGAGCTTTCTTTGTTTTGTTGCTGATGCATGAAAAGTGCTCCTCTCACACACTGAGTTAAAACAGCAGCTGGGCAGGTGGGAGGGAGTTTCTGTGTACACACTGTTTTATAATCGTACCTGTGCAGCCATGTCCACCAGCTGCGGCAGCTTCAGATATCGACCGTCTCCCTCCTTCATGAAGTCCAGTAAACTACCTGCCAGAGTTCAGAGTAAAGCATGGTGAATATATCTGTTTGGGCGTAATGTAAAAACACTTGATTCAGCATTAGTTGAGAGTTCAGTGTCAGAAAACTCTCAAATAACCAAAAACACATTGAAGGCAACATGACTTCAAACATCATGGAGGCTTTCTGCATTAACTTCAGTTTTATGTTGGTCTTTATTGCTCTCACAGACCAATAAAGTTTAAGCGCACTTACAATAAGAGTCACACTCAGGGTTTCAATGAGTCATAATGATGTTTGACTGGATAAGAGGTTAAAGATGATTGCTTTGCTACATTAATGTCCCTCGGTACAGATTGTTCCTGTTATTATCCATAATGTCTGTGGTGTGTGCCAATGCTTGACTTCTGCTTTTTGAGTTCGTACCTTTGGCCATGAATTCAGTGACTATGTAGATGGGCTCCTCAGACACCACGGCGTAGAGAGGAACCAGTTTATCGTGCCGGAGTTTCTTCATGATCTGAGCCTCCTGCAGGAAGGCCTCTGGGGACATGGTGCCGGGCTTCAGGGTCTTGATGGCAACCTTAGTAGTGCCGTTCCATGTGCCTGAATAAAACAAAACAAAATGATCACTCAGGTTTGAAATGAACCATAAAACAATGTTCTATTTCAAACAATAATTTATTGTCAGTTCAAGTCATGCACACATCGCAGCTCCATTTCCAACATCAACAAGGACAAATATGAAGACGGAACAACAAGGGAACATAAATGTAACACTACATTTAATCACAATATGTTAAAGACCCTTTACGGTACGTCCACACGGTTCCGTTGCGTGCTTCAACGGAGACGCTTCCCATTCACTTTGAATGGGGTGACGTCAAGCTTTGCCGAACTGCATTGTGGTTCCGTCACTTCGCTTGGCCTCGGTTGCTCGCTTCGAAAGTTGAACTTTTCAAGTGTCGGCGGAAGCGCTAGCCAATCACCCGCGTGCTTGAGTGTCTGGGGCGGGAGATTAATGTGATTGGTGGTTGGTCGCGCGCCAGACACGCCCACCGGCAAGCTTCAACGCGACGGAACCGTGTGGACGTAGGGTATCCTTAATTCGGTATTTAACTCCTTATTTCATTTCAAGATTGAATGGTACACAAAAGAGTGCTTTAGTCAAACCTCATTAAATGGTCGGACCCTGTTTCTCTGAATTGATGGCAATAAGTAATTATGCTTCATTCTTGGAGTTTAGCAAAGGGTTGATATTCAAATCGAGATTTTCATTTGGTGGAGCAGTTTTGACTAAACAGTGGTGAACAAACACTTGTAACAATTGGTGTACTTGCTCCGAAACACCTTGAAATTATTAAGGAAATAATTCATCTAAGGCATGTCCAATGTATCAAGTGACACACACCGTAACTCTAAAACACAGAGGATCCATTAAATACTTTTCGACCCCTTTTAAGTGATTGAAAAGTCGGGCCTAAAAAATCCCCCGTCATGACACTAATCCTTGGCAGCGCTCCCGTGTGAGAGGAGCTGCTCTCACTCCACGGCTAAAACAATCAGCCACTTCCTGCTGCAGAGCCACTTACTCACGCCCTGTTTGCATACAATGAGCTGAGGCAGGAGATCGGCTGCTTCCGTCACAGCGCTGACCTTCATGAACGAATCACACAGAACAAACTTCACACACACGCTGGAGGACAAAGTAGGGCAATGATAATATCTAATAATAATATATGGTGGCGAGCACATGGAGAACAATGGAGGTCAACCAGCACAAGGCATCATATAAAAACTCAATGTGGAACAAACAGGAGTTCTAGTAGCTGCTTCTCCCTTTGGATTTCAGTAAAGTGTATCCATGTTGTTTTACCTTAGTTGTTTTGTTTCACTCAGTGACATCAAACATTACTTTTTTTTTAGGAGTCAATGTCAATAGTCCCTCCTCAAACACAGGCACACACACTTTTTCAATTAAATTACATTTTTGTAGTTTTTTTTCATATATATTTTGCCATCAACATTGATTCATATTATTGTTTGTACTCAAGTATTTTTTTAACATTTTTTTAAAGTATTATTATTAGTATATTCTCTAATATATTGTACATTTTAACATCTGTTTCCACCTTTTTCTGTACTGTATTTTCTTATCCGTTTGTCTGTGTATATGCAATGTATTTGCAAATAAACAGACACAAACGGTCAGTAAGAAGTTGTAGCTGAGTGTAAAACCATCAATAGCAGAGGGACAGAGGGATTCCTGGGATTGCTCAGCGGAGGCTCGCAGGTCGAGGCTTGCTGCAGGCCACGCTTAATGAAAGAGTTAGAGCTGAAAGAGACTCGCGTTCCCTGAAAGCCCCGTCTCACATGCAGGCCGGAGAACTGAAGCGCAGGAGGTGACCTGTAATTACTGAGCTATGTGTGTGTGTGTGTGTGTGCGTGTAGCTCAACAGTAATCAGCGTTTACATCAGTATGTGGGCCAGCGAGGCATCAAGACAAGCTTTTTACAGAGGTCAGTCTCAACTTGAAACTAACGCAAATCTATAAACTCAGTTTGTGTGCATTTACTGCCTCCGAGTTGTTTCACATTACATTGACATCAGTTATAAATAATGTACAGCTTATGCTTTGTATCTGTATGTAAACCCTAATGGCCGTGTGAGTGGATGCCCATGCAGTTGTTTATATTATTTAATAATTCATCATCAGTGTGAGCCTCAAACATAAATATTAGAGTGTGTATTCATGTGTCTGCGGTGCTGACATAGGAAAGTGGTGGATGCATCCCAGTGTGTGATACGTCAGGCTTTCCATACTCTAACATCAGCTGACCAATTTCACACAAATCCAACCTGCATTCGCGTCATACAGCTTTTGCTCCAGCATTTCTGTGGAATTAACAGAGAGACTCCAACGGAAACCCTTTAAAGGTCTATAACATAGTGTGTTATCATCAACATGTTGGACTGAATGCAGACCATTTCAATTAAATAATGGCAAAAATGTATTGGTTCCAGCGTCTCAAATGAAAATATTTGCTGGTTTACTTTTTCTTCTATGTTGTTGAAATGAATACTATTGTTGTTTCATTGGTGTCCAGATAATCAAATGTTACTAACATGGCAACTTTGGCTTTTGAAATTGTAAAAGGTGTTGTTCAATATTTTCTGGCATTAAATGAACCAAATAAATTCTTAATAAGGAACTAATCTGCAGATTAATATATGATGAAAGTAATCAAAGAGGCATTGCAGTCAGCCGTAACAGAGGAGTAAATGTTACTTGGCCTGTGTGTTATCTCTTGTGTTCAAACCTTCCAGCTAGGTTCAAAGAGCACAAGTATTTTCTATGACCCCAAACGCCCAGCACCAATTATTTCCAGTTGCAGCCTGTGCAAAATGTATTTCACAGTACTGCTTTCTGGTGTGACCAAGAAAATAAAATACTCAAGAAATACCACATTTGTTGGGAGTCAATTTGTTTGCCTTACGGTTAAACCATTAACATCTTCACAAGCCAAAGTCCATGCGTGTGTGTTTTAACAGCATTAATGGTCTCTTACCCATCCAGACTTCTCCAAAGCAGCCCTGGCCGAGTTTGAGCTCCAGTCGGAGAGACTCTCGTGGGATTTCCCAAGCATCCTTAGCTAGTCCCTGAGTCTGAGGCTTCACCGTGGGGCACACGGTCGTCAGCCTGTAGCATAGACCGTCCGAATGTTCTGGACAGGAACAGACATGTGAAGACAGAAAGAAAAGAATGAGCTTTATGTTTGAATTATCAGCCTCCAGCCTGGTAACAAACAAAATAACTGTGTTGAGTTAAGAACAAAATCGTAGCAGCAACGGGAGTTACGCTTCAGTAAATGCAGTGTGAACACGTGATGAATACAACAATACATTGCCACTTGACACCAACAAACTACAATCCAAAATAAACGCACTAAACTCTTGACCCGTCATTCCTCAGAAAAAATGAATTTATTTATTTGTATGCTCATTCCCAGGTATAATCAAATCTTATGGTATTCTCACCATAATGACTTGAAATGTGTTGAACTCAATAAAGTTTCAATTGTAATAAAGGATTGTAGTCAAAGTTTAGGGCCTAAAGCAGCTGAAAGAGGCCATTCAAACCATCTCATGAAATGCATGATTGTCATTCTGCACACAGTAAAAGGAGACACAGCGAGCAGCAGCCTGTTATATTGAAGCTACTGAACAGGTAAGATGTTCTCAGGTATTGTTGACTCATGTCACGAGTGTAAAAGCCTGCACTTGGAGGAATACAAAGAGTCAATTATAAGGCACACTGCCGGGAGTAAATTACATGAATCGTGTGGAAGCAAGCAGTGTCAACAACACAAGACCTAAATGAAATGTTAAGGAGCTGTAAAACAAACATCCTCTTGTTTATGGATACTGCCTCTGTGAGTGTAAGTGTGTTCTTCATAAACAGTTTGTCCTGTGTGTGTTTTCATCATTCAGACGCTTTCTTCTGACAATCTGCTGGGTATCTTCCCCGGCACAGCTGCCTGCCTTTCAAATGTGAAGATTACAGCAGGCTTACATCTGTTTTTTTTTTAACGAGACATTTTATATTCATGCCTCTTTCGGGTTGAGCCTTACATGGTTTGCCGTTTTGAGACTTTGACGTGATTTCTGAGCTGTGAGCGGATCAGTGAAGACACTGCTTTAAAAATCACCACAGGAGGAAAACTGTTTGTAAGATAAACTCAGAATGTATTTCAGCAGATGTGCAGCTGAATAATGCATTTTCTCCAGCAAGAGCTGCATTCATTGGATAAAATACTTTTATTTCAAAGACGCGAAACGTATAACTGATAAAACATTGGCTTATTTTCTCACATAAAACACTCAGAGAATAGCCGACTTATTTCTGCATTTAAAGTGCACCATTGTATCTCTTGCACTATTTTTATTACACTATTTGACTTCCTATTTATTATATGCCGCACTGTTAGCTTGGCCCAGGACTTAAGATGTTCATCGCCAACAACTACACTACTGCTTTTGTGCATAGGACAATAAAACCTTTGAACATTGAAGGAAAAACTACTTTTAGTAAGAGCAGCTGTCCAGTTGTAAATAACAATTTGTCTAAGCGCTTCCCACATGAGAATAAGATGAATGTGCTGCATACCTGTGTAGTGTTTCACCAGCTTCTGCAGATTCTCAAACTGGGCCCGAGTGGTGATGTAATAACCTCCGTTGTCCAGCTTTCGGATCTTGTAGTGTTTGACGTTGTCGCCCTTCACCTCGTCCCAGTCCCGGAGAGACAGAGAGTAGGCACCTTTAGGATCCACAGGAAGTAAGTTAGATTGAGCAGCAGAAACTCTTGAATCTGCATCACAGGCTTTCATCCCACAGAACATCTGATAAACATAAAAACACATTTTAACTTCTAACCGACATTCAAATAAGAAGAACTCCCATATAATGAACATATGGCCGCAATAAAATGGAGCCCACAAGCACAAATAAGGAAAGGCTTTCATCTTTGCCTTTAATATCAAAACGGCAGCATTTTCATTACAGTCTGGCTTTCATGAAATGAATCCTCTTACCTTTGGTCGTCTCACTCTCTCGTGCCAAGAAAGTTCCCCGCTGGTTCCCTGGATGCAATAAGAGGCGCTCGGCGTCTTTGCGGCCCATTTTACCAAAGTACCATCTGCAGAAAGAGAGAGAGACAGGAGGAGCTCCACATGTTATAAACTGCATAACAAGTAGCATTTTCTCTGTTCGGGTAATAAGAGCACTGCTGATGGACATTCTCTGGGTTTAGATGAATCCTAAACACCCGGTCTATACAATTGTCAAGTCGAATATTAAAGCTGGACAGAACATAATATATTGTTAGTAAGTTTTACACAACATTCATTTACAATACCAGCAGTTTGTATGTGGTTCGTATGTAGTTACCTTCAAATCAAAGGCAATAAAATAATAGGCAATAAAATACCTTAAAATCTAATTTAAGACAACATAATGGATATCACATTACTATAATTACAGCTTTTTAGCCTGATCCATTACATGTAAGGGGCTATTATAAATAAATAAAACATTAGATAATGTCTGTAAAGAATGTTAATAAATAGCTTTTCTCATTTGTTTATGGCGCAAACTGAAAACTCATCTCTTTCGACTCCACTTCGAGCGATAGATTTATTAACAAAGCACTTATATACTAATAAAGGACTGGCTTATCTAAAGCCAGTTGAGGAGCACTTGAAATGTTTGGCTCTATGAAACCTGATGTACTTATATGATTCTGTTTTCTTCAAGGTTGTGTCTTCCTGGTCGAATGTACTTATTGTAAGTCGCTTTGGATAAAAGCGTCAGCTAAATGCAATGTAATGTTTATGAGTAGTGAGAGTTTTTAAGAGATACAAGTACAGTCATGTTGAATTGAAAACATTTCACAACACTAAATGAAGAAGGAATTAAAACTCATAACCTCTGTTGATGACTTGCACTCAATCTTTAAGATTAAAGCCAACGTTTTGGGCTGGTTTCCACCAGGGTTTTATGAGAAGCTTAAACATCTTGTATTAGTCAAATGGCTGACAGCCAATGAGAAACCAGGGCAGAGCTGTCTGAAGCACTCGTTTCTGTCACACCGGATGAACAGCAATGGGAATGCCAACGACTGTCAGCCACTACACAGGCCTCCATTGTTTACACTGTCAGTACATGACGGCTGAGTCACAATGTGTGAGCGCCCAGCCGTAATCAGGTCTTCTTAATCAGAGAAATAACCGAGCAGGGTGAGAAACAGTACAGGAATGTGAAGGAGAAGAGTGAAAGAAAAAGCTAAATTAAAATTGGAGGATGACGGAGATAGAGATAGATAATAAGCTCTCACTCTTCAGCCTGTATGGAGTCGGCTGGAGCCACGTAGTTACTCGGGATGTAACCTTTCTGCCCCGTGTTGATGGAGCGAGCCTCCCACCAGTCGCCTTCCCTGAGAGGAGAAGTTAATTAGAAATGAAAAAAACCACAAAAGCATGACTGGAAAAAATACACCTACTGTAAACAGGTAGGTGGAACACAAGGTCTCATTCTGCGTCATTCAACACATCAGGAATCACAGGTTCGTTATTAAGACACATCAAACAGAGGAGGAGGAAGTAATGAAAAACTTTTCTGTTTTGTTTTTAAAGGAAAAGTGAATGTCCTGCATTCAAAACCTACTTAAGTTTAAGTAATACTGAATCATCTGTTACATTCTTAACATATACAAAGTAATTGTTCTGCAGTAAATGGCCCTGATTGACATAACTAAATACAATTCAACAATATAATAATAATAATAATAATAATAATACAGTTGAATCAAAGCACATGTGCTCTTCTTTACATAAATTGGCATTTTGAAAGGCTTTCATTTTGGTTTTAATGTAAGATTTGTCTAAACGTAACCTCCGTTTCGAACAATCAGAAACTTTATGCCAATGGAAAATATTAATATATATAATATAATATATGACTAGAGAAGAAATAATAAATGAGAGGGGGAACTGAGGTGAAGGACAAATCTGTTCTCTTGGTAAAACTGTTCCTATGTTTTCTCTGAAAGCAGATGGCCTTTCATTACTGCTAAAGCCAATGTCCATGGACAGCAGCTGGAGGACTGAGGGATGCATTTGTGGAGAACTTGGAGCTCTGCCTACTTTCACACCTGTGCACACCTGGGAGAAAGGTGATGCTGATACAATAGGATAGAATAAATTAGTAGAAAAGTATTAATTTGTTCATCATTATTTGTTGTATATTCCTTTAGTTTTGTTCTAGAAATTAAGGAATATTGCAATTGGATAACACATATCTATTTGCAATAGAAATGCCAAAAATAAACAAAAGCAAAGTTAAGGATTTGAGTTTTGCAATAACTGCAATTTACAATATACTTTTAAAGAGGCATATTGAAGAGAGCATGACAATCTAATGAGTTTCAGTGCACTGTTAGTGTCTTTTAATACATTCAGTTAAATTCCGTAATAAATGAATATCTTTTTTTGCCTATAGCTTGTATTTGACTAAGTGAGAGAAGAGTGGTATGTTTTACACTGTTTACACCTAAATGTAAAACCCTAAACCAGGGGTGGGGAACCTCCGGCCTCCGGGCCGCATACGACCCGCGAGACAATTTGGTACGGCCCTCGAGGTAATTTATAAACACACGCAAAAAAGAAAAAAATATAAGAAATCTAGACCGCAAAAAAATTAAACAAGCGAGTGCCTGTTTTTCCTGGCCAAGGTCAGGGTCCTTGAACACAACACGAGCCTAACGTGTCATCACGTGGTATATGTCTCGACTGACAGGGGTGCAGTGCTGACGGAGAGCACCAGAACGCCGCTCCAGCACTTCAGAAATTGCAGTACCCATAAGTCCGTACACATGCCGCAGTTTCTGCGTGTCTGTGTCTTTAGTTGAAAGCCCAGTGGTGATCTGTTCATCTGTCACACTGATCATACAGTCAATAACTTTGTTGTTATTAGCATCTGGTTAGCTAGCTATGCTAACGAATATAAGACGCTTTTTCTACAACCAGTGAGGTAAAGGCACATCTTTATATGATCATTATAGTTATACAAAAATAAGAGAATAATGTATAGGTTTAACAGGTATAAAATACTAAATGACAGTAAAAAAAAGTTGTTATTAATAAAGAAGAATACAGTTTGAATTAGTCAAATATTCATAAAGAAAAATAAATCTGCTTCCAGTTCTGTTTCAAATGGGTGTTGAGAGATGTATCCATAGATCTCCTAATTTTGCTCTCAAAGTGCACCAGATTGATGCTTTTAACTTCAACATTTACAAAAAAATCTTCCCGCGGGAGCAGGCCCCCCAGACCCCCTAGAGGAGGTTAGGTCCCCCCCTACTTATATCATGTTCACATGGATAGGAAATTAAATACATTTGCACACATCTTGTGTCCATATCTTTCTGTTTGGGTGGTCACGCCACACCGTGCACGTGCATGCATGCGCGAGTCATGGTAAAATATCTGGATTAAGAGGTTGCTTTTTCTTTGCACAGAATGAAATGAATGGGCTGTGATTTTAGTTTTTTTAAGCAGAGGTCAATAATTTGCACGGCCCTCTGAGGATATTGTAAACATTGAAATGGCCCTTGAGAGGAAAAGGTTCCCCACCCCTGCCCTAAACTAAAGGAAGGATCTACAGCAGAGGGAAAGCAATCTGGACGAAACAGATGGCCCATTAAAAGGAAACCATTAACCCAGAATGCCTTATTAACAGACCTTAATACAATAAGGGATTATACACACACACACACACACACACACACACACACACACACACACACACACACACACACACACACACACACACACACACACACACACACACACACACACACACACACACACACACACACACACACACACACACACACACACACACACACACACACACACACACACACAACACACACACACACACACACACACACACACACACACACACACACACACACACACACACACACACACACACACACACACACACACACACACACACACACACACACACACACACACACAGTGTTCAGAGCCTCTGTACTCACGTGTTGTTGATAATCTGGAAGCGATCCCCTTTCTTAAACGACAGATCATCCGTCGTCCTCGCTTCGTAGTCGTACAGCGATACGAAAAATGTAACACCGCCTGAAAACAAGAGAAAGCGAGCATGAGAGGTGTGCATATTTAACATCTTATCCCACAGTAGTTTCAAAAAAGATTGACGCTTGAAATAAAAACAAAATATGCTCCTTTTCTCATTTTGTAATATTTCATACTTGGGTAAAGGTCTCGCAAACATATTAAATTATGCTAATATTACCGATATTAATACTGTATTATGGTAATGATGTTCAAGACTGTATGAAAGAAACACCTTCCTGCAAATCAGGGCCTTGACCAAAATACAACTAGCTCTATTACATTTGATTTATTTTAGGAATACATCAGGAACAACAGGACATTCCCTCCACATTTTTCTGTGGCGTCACGTGTAGTCAAACGGATGTCACTTAATCTCCTCTGTGTAATCAAAACAGTTGATTGGTCTGAGGTCTGCAGACACAGAGTGCACAGAGACGACAGGACTCTCATATATTCTTCTGGAGGAGGAAATTGAACGGGCAGGATTAGATCACCAGAAAACCCTCAGGCTAGATTATCCTCCTTCAGAGAGCCAGGGAGTGTGTGTGTGTGTGTGTGTGTCAATGTATGCGTTAGTTTGTGCGAGTGTGTGCAGTTCCATCCAATCTATGATATAATTATGATTGAACAAAAAAAATTATAATAAAATTATAAAACAATTTATTTACAAGGAATAAATACAATAAATATAAATATTTATTATTTTATTTATTATTAAAAATTAATATTGAAATAAAGTTTTAAAACACAAATCAATGTCCCTGATAAAAACACATTAGAGGGGTAATCCAGATCAAATCAGTCAACTGTTGTAAATAAAACCAGTGTGCGAAAAACAACAATAGACTTTTTTGAAAGATTCGAGAAGGGATTTCAAAGAAGTCACATTATAAAAATGTAAAAACCACCTGAAAATGCATGAGATAACATTTAATGAGAGATTCATTTCAACTAAAGTTATTCCAAGCAAACTGTTTAATATAAAAACTTGAACATGACAAACACCGGGGGAAGCCACCCTGCTGTGATGCTTCTCATATTACTGACTTATTTTGGGTTTCTCTTTGGCCTTGGAGGTTTGGGCTGACTCATTTCAAAGTTCCTATTTGCATAACATCTGCTGCTCATATGTTTAAGTTTATTCTTAATTTAGGAAATGGCAGAGGGAAATGATGGCAGAGGGAAATGTTGGCCAAGTATTAGGATTGCAAATTAGTTGAGTAAATATTTATACTTCATTTTGTATTTGAATAAAAACTGATAATACGTTTCCTTTTCTTACCCAAAGGGACCCAAAGTTTTGTGAATTGATTTGAATTTTTTAGGGAAATTCCAAAGCTTTTTTCCTGAAATCCCCTGTGCGCTCTGAAACCTTAACTCCTCACACTGACCTGGGATGATTCCTGGGAAGGGGCTGCTCACGGCCACAGAGGTGAAGGAGGTGGACGCCCCCCCGAAGGGAGTCATGATAGACGACGCCCCCCCGAAGGGCGTGAGGGAGGCGGCGTGACTGTTGTAGCTGTTGTTGTGTGTCTTCATGGCGGGGGAGTGACCCATCAGGGTGGGGTCCGGGCCGTAGTGGCCCAGGTGGGCATTGGTGGGCGTGTTGTTAGAGTTGTCGGTTCGGTACTTCAGCGCCGGGCCCTTGTCCTCTTTACTCCTGACGCAACCCATCGTCAAGCCTGCAGAGAGGAGGGATTCATAGTGTGATTAACTGAGGTTTGGTCTTATTACAGTCCATTACTAGCCCTTTAGGTTGATGTAGGTGTTTACTCTCACACCTCTTATATTCTTATTGCATTACCTCTGCTGTTAATGATATCCAAACGTTTTGGATGGATTAGTACAAAACTGTTCCAAACCCAACAGTGAAGGCTCCCTGAGATACAATCAACAAATACTCTTGATAAGATATACATTTAGGACATTTAACTCCAAACAAATGCAGAACAACAGAAGTTATAAAACCAAAACTAGCTTTTTTAAATAAATTACCGCAATAACAAAATGGCAACAATTTCAAAGACAGAAATTCAGAAAAATCTTCCAGAAAGACACATTCAATATGTGTGAATTTAGGTAAAATATTAATATAAAATTGTTATAAAGAGTTGTAAAGCCAGTTGTAAAGGTGTCTAAAGCTCATATTATTTAAATGCATGTCTTCAAAAGACTACTTAAAACATAATTTCTACTGCCAAGTGATGTTGACAGTACAGTGTTATAAATCTTGATAGTGTCTAATCATATTTACAATCAGAATAATCCAACAATCAACACCACACACTTGTTGTTATCTCTATACTTTTGTCAACTACTGGCCCAGATTGGAACAGTTTCAAATATAATCAAGAGCATTTGAAAACAAACAGGTAGCCAAAACTCAAGAGGGTTTCGGTATTTGAACTGGCAGCAGAACCTAAAAGTTATGAGCTCACTATTTTCATTGGAGACTAAGTTGTGTCACAAATAGAGATACATAATTATCATATTGAACATACTAGCCTGGAGCTTTTTTTTGGGGTGGTCTTGGCATAACTCTCCCATGCAGAAACCAAAGACTGCATGCCAACGGATGACCTCACATGATTTCGCAAGTCCCAACAAAGGCCTGTCGAGCCAGACGAGCTGGAAACTAGATTATGTTACAGCCTGTGGCCATTTCTGCTCTCTGTGATCACACTCTCTCTGACACACAGGGATAAAGACTCTCGGTGATAAGAGCCAGAGCTCTCTCCTCCTTAGCTTCCTGATATCTGAGAGTATGGGAGGGAGTGTGTGTGTGTGTCAATGTAAATGAAGGAATCAAGAGAAAAACATTTTGCTCAGTCAGTGTTTTGAAATAAACATTTTGATTATGTTTATGCAATGATGTCCTCACAAGAATACTATCTGTTGTCAAATAAATAAATGTCATTGTATAAGTGTTTGAGTGTGTCCTTGTTGTCATGAGTTGACACCATCATCTTTGGATCCGACTCTGTCTATTTATTTTCCTGTCACCTTTGCCTCATGTCAAGTGGTCCTTTCTAACTGTTCCCATAAAACAAGCTGCCGCTGCTCACTCCAGTCCGAGACTGATCCGCTGTCCATGCCTCACATCCAGGCATTTGTGAAATGCAAGGACATAGGTTCAAATGTCCTTCAGTGACAGATTTGTAGCAGCGATGTCATTCATAGACAGACTGCAGTCCCATACAAACCGAGACAGAAAAGAAAGAAAAGACAAGCAGAACACAGAGGGTAGCTTTTATTCTCAGTGGCCCAGAGCAGCTGACTTTGCTTCAAAAAGGCTTTAGGCCATCTACTGATGCAGGAAAATGTGTGTTATGTGTCCATATTTCTGTGGATGGCAACGTTTCAACACTGTTTTGTAGATTTATTTTACATCCATCATCCTGAGTTAGGCCTATAAGCAACATTCTGGCACAAATATTTCGTAGTGTTTGAGGCATTTGCATATTTGTACCTTGGTCCTTGCTTGATTTTGTCATATGGGCAGCTTCATTAGTAAACAATTGTTAAGAAAGCTTTCTGTTGTACTAGCCTAATGTCTGAGCTACTTTGTCATACCTCTAAAATGATTTGTAACATGAACTGTTTGTGCTAATAACTTCGTAGGCTGATATGAAAAGTCACTTTACATCCCAAAGAAGTGACTAAAGCTTCCTCTTCCTTGATGAAAAGTTTGTATTGATTTTCTGATTCTCAAATTGGAGCTAAAACTAAATCTCTTGGTAAAGAAAACAAATCTTTCATTCTCTACTGAAAGAGGGGCTTAGGTCTGTAAAGGGCAGCACTACAACCAAACCTAATGAGGGTCAACAATCAATGTATGGATTACCCATTTTAGATGGAGGGTGTATTGACGTCCTCCCATTGACAAACGTCATTGACTGAAAGCCAATGCTGAGGCAGCGGAAATGAACAGGGCTGATTGACAGGGTGAGAATAGTGGAAGGAGATTAATTGATATATGTAAACTTGCACATGTAAAGATATATTGATGCTGCACAGGAGAGGCATTGTTTTAAAATCAGAATAACAATTGTTTCTTTAAAATAGCCGGCATGTTTTTTTAATGTAGTTGTAGTTGAAATTGATCACTATTTGTATTTTTCCATCTCCTCTACAAAGAGCAACCTATTGTTTGTTAACCTGCCTCTGTGTCTACATGTCAGATACAACATGTGAAAAAAGAAGTTGAGGAAGATTACATTTGATTAATTTTCATAAATACATATCAGTCACTCCTACACATAAAGATTGGTGAGTTAATTAGTCCAATTAGACATGGCCTTTTCGGAAAGCATGCACTCTCCACAGGATTGTTAGCAGAGACAGAGTAACAGCTGGTGAGGACAACGTGCAGTGCGACAGTGTGAGCATGACAGCACTACTTGTCCTGGCACTTTGTTAATGTTGGATGATATGCAGAGCAACATGAAACATGTCTGCTCTTTTCAGCCGTGAGTGTTTCTTGATCTGACAACACAGCGATGGGGTTCGTGTAAAAATGTTTTTTCTCAGTTCTCTGGCATCTGCGAATCATATGCGGCACGATAGTGACTTTGTAATTTGTTATACTTGTGCAAGTGTAAGAAACATTTAAAAAAAGATAAAACACAAGCCAGAGAAAAGCCAGAATGAAAAGATGGCGTTTACCGACAAACAATTGAATTACTTATTTACAGGAAAAGTTTAGGTATCAGATCTTCAGTTTTAGACATTTCACACCCTAGGATTAATTAAGAAAATAATTGTCTGATAAGCCAATAATGAAATTACAGGCTCGGTCAAGTGCTTTGACCAACCTGGAGCTAATTGTATTGCATATTATCTCTAAGAGGGCTAACCTAAACCCATGTCAAAGTCAAAGCCACAGACATCAGAGCAGAAGGCAACGTAAACATGGCCCCCACCTTTGACCTCATCCTGTCGCACATGTCAACCACCACTTGATGCCAAATGTCCAAAACTCTTGGTGCTGCTGACACTAAAGTTAATGCTACAACAAACACATGTCTGACCTGGATGAATACAAGGTGGGAGAGTGTCGTTGTAGTTTAAAGAGGTTATCATTGATTCAAATCCTCTGGAAGCACATACTCCAGACTGAAGCTAATCCTAATGAAACCCGACTCCTGGTGATCGTCATGAGAGCAAGAACACAGGTTCCCTGTCAACTAGCAGGTAAGTGAGCGTCATGTTCTACTATGTGACACATTCACTTTCAAAAAGTAGGCTAACCATCTGGATCAACAACTAGAATAATGACGATTAAAGGACTTTGCCTCAATTTGGATCAGTGTTTGGACAATTGAAAACCCGTTTGGCGTGAGCAGAACCTTTCCAAACCATCAGTTATCAGCAGTTTCACTTTCTGTTAGGAATACTTTTGACTGACGTCCCCAAATGCTGTTATTAATTATAGGTTGAATGACATATTAAAAAGTCCCCTCCCTAAATGATTGGCAACCTTTCCTATTTCCACTAATGTGCACCCAGAGGATTCACTCCTAAAATGGCTATGAATAGATGGCAAGCCTGAGCGAGTCCACAGGCATGATCTGGCATGTTAAACTGCTTCAGCGCCAACAAGTTTACCTTCCGATAACTTCGTCTTTGCTTCAACACATACCACACATCGCCGGCAGCAAAAGCCATAATGGATTTAGGGATATCATTTGAAAAGAGTGATTTATTACAAGAAGGACGCCATTGATAGAAAGCAATCAGGGGTGTCCTTTTTAATGATATAACTAAGTGTTCTTGCTCTACAGGGATCAAACAGCTATTTATTAGGGCAAAGATGAAGAATAAATCAGGATTAATAATATTTTTCAGATAAAAAAAAAAAATCAGGTTCATACCCGATTCCAAAAAACACTACAATAAGCCAAGTTTTATTTTTAAACAATCTCAATCCTCTGAGTTTAACTTTATTTCTTTCTACAGTAGTTTTTGAAACTTCTTAGTGAACCACCCGTGGAGAACGGTGCCCTGAGAATAACAGAAAAGGCCACCTCCGCGGAGAAAAAGGCTTTCGATTCATTCTTTTGTCAGCCTCCTCTACCTTTTGTTATGCTCAAAGAGAAAGTACCTTGAGGTGCTTCCCACAGAGCACAGCACACTCACAGTCACAACCCCCTGAACTATGCAACCCCATACACATGCTAACAACACCGAGCAGCACAAATGCTAATCAGGGCTAAGACACACTGTCCTTCTAGTGGTGGAACCAAGAAGACCAACAATCGATCAAACCAAGAAGTGCTACGATTAAATAATCCAAACAAATTAGATCCGTCGATAATATACACCATATATTTGCACCTACATCTCTTATGAATGGACAAGTTGTATTACTGCCGCAAACGTATTATAATCATTGTAGTAATTAGAGATGTCCCGATCCGATCACGTGATTTTCAAAAGATCGGAAGGAAAAAAAATCGGGGATTGGGAATTTTTATTTATTTTTATAAAATATTTGTATTATTTTATTTAATGTTACAAAACCAAAATGACCATTTTCACGTCTTAAAGTCATCCTGAGGCCTTAGTTTTGGTTTAAAATGACACAACATCATGTATGTGTTGCTTCTTTTGGGCTTGTTTTCAGACCTGGTTGCTTATTTCTCTCAAATCTGGCAACAGAGTGGGCGCAGTGTCTAATAGT